TGGCGGGGAGGGCGAAGTAGACTGTGCTGGCAGGAAGTAAGGTCAGCCCTGCACTGGGAACTGACCTCTCAATGCTTCCTGGGTTAGACTCAAGGTGGGTGGGTGTTTGGGGTGCTGGTGCTGATTCTTAGAGCAACTAAAACATAAAGCGGTGGGCAGAGAACCTTGTCGTTGCCGAACCTCATGCCCCAAATACTTCTTTGCATATGGCAAACTGCCTTTGGTGGGTTTTCACACAGGCATTTTAGATTAGCAAAGTTCCTTGAATTATAAAATATCCTAGTTCACATTTATTAAGCATTGACTGTATACTAGGACCTGTGTTGTTTAACATGCGTGATCTCGTTTATTCCCTTCCTGATCCATCCTGGTGACTGGGTTTTTCCCATGTTAGAAAAGAGGAATATGAGGTCCTAGGAGGAGGGGGTCAAGTCACTCAGGAAAGTGGCAACACTGGAGTCTGGGGTGATGACGAGGCTGCTGCTGCAATAGCCACATCTCAGATGCACTGAGCCAAGCCCCAGGCACGGTGCTGGGCGCTCTTTGTGAAATATCTCATTGAACTTGCACAAGAGCCCTTGGAAGTAGTTACTGTTACTCTTATCATTGTTATGCCCACATGATGGATGAGGTTAACAAGGCTTGGAGAGGGCGAAGGTCATGCAGCTGGAAAGCTAACTTCAGAGCCAAAGCTTTTTAACCTTATGCTGTGGCTGCCTCTCTGTCAGGTTGAGGAAGAGGGTGGGGTGGAATGAACCCGGCCCGGAACATTGGATCATTTTGATGACATGGCCCAATTAGTGCTGAGTCTGGCAGTTCTGTGGCCGCATTGTCTCCCAGGCTTGGAGAGAGAGTGGGCTGAGCGGCCGTGCAGGCAGCCCTGTCAGAGCAGGGTCTTAGACTGTCCACCTCAGAGACCAGTAGTCTCTTGGGCCATGTGCAAATCCACGAAGCAATTTGGTAAAAGAAAACTGGATGAATTAAGTTAAACGATAGGTGTTTTGTGCTGATGTTATTATGTTGTTGACACATAATGCTAAACTGGTTTGGTGCCAACTGCTTGCCTGCAGTCCATTTGTCCAACAAATATTTGCTAAGCACACCTACCATGTGCCAGACACTGTGCCAGTCACTGGAAACTGAACCATAAACAAAGTAGACAACCTCCCGCATCCTTTCTCTTGGAACTGTATAGTGTAGTGGGGGCATCTAGAAATAAAAGGTCATGTAGTAGTCAATATGGTGAAGAAAAATTAAGCAGACCAAGTGGGTGGTGAGTGGCCAGACTGCTGGTTTTGATGGCTGGCTAGGATCTGGGGATGCTATATTTTGGGTTATGGGATTTTTAAAGTGAGTGCATGCTTCTTTCTTGCCTTTTTTTTTTTTAAATTGAATTTATTGGGTAACATTGGTTAATTATATAGGTTTCAGGTGTACAGTTCTATAACATATCATCTGTATATTGTATTGTATGTTCACCACCCCATCAAGTCTCCTTCCATCACCATTTATCCCCTCTTTACCCTCTTAAACCTCCCTCCACCCACCTTTTCCTCTTCTTTCTTGTCTTTTTGTTCTTCTTTCCTTTCCAATATTCCTTCTCAAGACAGTTTTGCTCTCTGGCTTTCTCTAGAGCTTTTCTTTCTACACACTTTTCTTTCTACCGTTTCAGCTGGACTCCTTAACCAGTCCCTATTGGCCTGAAAATTGTGGTCCTTCCTGGGTCATCTATGAGTGGGCTGCTGTGGCTGCAGGGGCCACACCCTGCCTCTGGGCTTGGAATGCATTTTCAGTGTGGCTGGTGGGGGCAGGGGGCAGATGGGAAGGCCAGAAGTTCCACCCTTCCACACACAGATACAAACCAGGCACTAACTTAACCACCTGCTAGATGGGACCCCTCCCTCTCTGTGCCACTGCAGGGCTCTAGAGGGGTCTCAAGTTCAAGGGAAGTTGGACTGGATGACTTTTAGGAAAGAGGCTGCAAACTGTCATTCCATGGGCAGGAGTCAGCCTACAGATGAATCTTGTTGGCCCTCACAGTGCTTTTTTTTTGCTTTTTTTGTTTTTTTTTAAATTGAATGAGTTGCTATATTTAAAAGCCAGGAAATGTGAACTTTTTGGCTTCTTTTAAAAAACCAGACTATCTGGCCACTCTAGGCCCACACCCTTCTATGCAATGAAAGCTACCGCTGAGTACTAGATGCTCACTGTGTCAGCCTGCAGTCTTCAGTTTACCACAGACCTCACTGCTCCCTGTTGCCTTATTCCCAGCCCACTTCACACTGTGTCACCAGCCTGCTTTTGAGTTTGACTCCTGTTTGTAGGTCCCAAGGGTCGGGACTAGATCTGACGTTTCTTTTTATTTCTACCAGCCTGTGTGCGCTGCCTTGCATAGACTGTAGTTTTATATACAGGCTTGTTGTTTTGAACATGAATTAGCTGTGTCAGCTTGGCAA